GTTCATTGGCGTGTTGCTTGCAAGAGTGATGAGAATCACAACATTTCGCATATTCAGACTGATTATGGCAAATTTGCTCTGAAATGATCGTCTACGAGTTTCCCCCCGAAACCCTAAGCTACTCATTATGCTGAGGCAAGACTGCAGCGGAGAGTTCCTCATAAGCGAGTCATGGTGTGTCTCCTCAGAATAATCGACTTGAATCTTCAGAATTCGAATGATTTCACTGATCCAGTCGGGTAAAAATCCTGCCTGACGTTAATTTCGTGGGTATAATTAGCCGGTTTCTCAATGGCAAATGCTTACTCTTTCTTGTTGCCAGAGATTGTACAACAGCTAAAAGATCATCACAATTGCTCTGATGCCACAGACAAGAAGCCGCTGCGATGGATAATGCTGCAATGGTAGCAGGATAATGGGCTAAGCCACGTTAGGCCAACTTCCGTACGCAATAAGCAGAATTATAACCTACGATCTTGTGGAGAGCTGCCAATGTCACCTAATGGATACTCAAGTTTGTTCCACCGGACCTTTGCATCGTCTCCAATCTGTATCATGGAACAGCATGTCGGGGAGAAAGCGACTTGATGGCCTGTTTGGTGTTAGCCGTATTCTTCAATATATGCAAACAAATGTATGCGTGGCAAGACTTACATGGTCCGCTATCGGAAAAGGTCCATCCAACCTGTCGCAAGGTCATGACTTTGGTGAGATCTTCATTCGCATATATTTCTTCGAACGTGAATCGATCTCGATACTCAATGGACCCATCTGACATTGTCAAAAGAAGGACTTTTCTGTACTGGATATCCTGAATTCCAATGACGACTTTGTTGATCACGATGGATTCCAGTTTTTTAAGCTTTATGGTGTTTGGCGGGTCCGACGAAACACTGTTTCTCCGATTTCCCAGTTGTTCAAAGGCAGAATCAAGACTTTGCTTGGATTCGATGGCTTCCCATCGATCCAAGACGCTCTGGGCTGATTGGAAAGATCCATCACCCACATTCCTCGACCTCACAGTCATGATCAATGGCGGAACTGTGCTGGAGCCAGTGTTGTCCATTACGGCCGGCAAGACATGCAAAAAGGAGAGTTCAGCCATCGAAGCGTCATAATTTGTTTCGTTGGGGCCAGCATATAACCAACTGGCCGATGCAATATGTGTTTCCACAAGAGCAGGATTTAACCTTGCATTCTGGGGCATGGTTATTTTCTCTGAAGAGGAACCAGGTCCCCCCCACTGTATTTCGATTTTAAGGAGCTTCAATTGCCGAGACGAGGTTGCAACAGCAGCGAGCAGGTGTTCTATATTGCATTCAGCCATCTGATGTAGGGATTTTGTGGTTGTTTAGAAAAGACAGAGCCCACTCACTTTTATCGGAAGCAAAAGCTGCATGCGTGACAAGCTCGTCAGATGTGTTTACGCTCTCGAGCTCCATTGTTGTCTCCTCCATGCGGCCATTGTTCTGTGACCAGTACATCTTCAACATACCCCCAGAGCTCACACAGAAAAGAGCGCTCTTGGCCGAATGCGGATGGTTTGGCCCTATAGCATGTACGAAGGAGCTTTCATATTGATACCCGTTTCCACTCTTATTTGCCGGCCCGTACATTATGTTGAACGGTTTCTTGGACAAGTCAGAAATTTCGACAACACAATTCCGAACATACGGCAAATAAAGGGAGAAGAAGAACTCACCTGCTGATTTGTTGGGGCCACAGGGAGCCAGTAACAGCCAGCGATTCCATGGAGGTCGTCAATCGTGTCCGTCTCCCATTTTCTGGTTATGAAGGGGTGGTTCAACGAAATGGCAAAGCTCACCAAAGAAACTCTTCCAGCTGCATCTATTACAGCCAGATCCGGAGTGTTTGTCGTGCCCCATTCCAAATGCACCAGGGGAATTGCTGGCGTTCCCTTGACAAGGTCACAAGTGGTCGGCTCACTGAGCTCCCAAGCCCCGGTGTCCGGATGGCATCTTAAGAATCGAAGCTCGAGAGTCAGACCATCAGGAGCCAATGAGGCTATTGTGCCAGACTTGGACCACGCGACAGCTCTGCACAACAGTTAGTATGGTGATTTCGTGAGAGGCTACGCGTGAGTAAAATTTCATACTGGCAGGCGCCTCGGTTCCGCAGCTCATCTAGCCGTTGCTGCAGCTGTTTGCCCTGGGGTCTGACAGGAATAGAGAGAGGGACATCGTCGCCAAACAAGTCATCGACATTGTCGAGGTCTACTTGCATGGAATTATCCAGTATGAGAGGCATCTTCTCGGCTGTCATCTGAGCGGGTTTGTCCACGTGCACTATGGGTATCTAAAGGTCAATCAGGTTGGAAGCAAATAGCGTATGGATAAAAAGCGTCAAAGAAACAAAGACATCAAGAAAGAAAAGGAAAACAAAGGGTATTAGAAGAATTTTGGCGCTAGCAACTCAGCGATGCAGCCTGCGCATGGAAAGGCTGTAAAGGTGTCAAGGCAGCGGACAGAAACAAAATGGTCGATGATTGGCAGACGAGATCTTTCTCTCAATGACACGCATGAGGTAACTACTAACTGGCGCGCGGTCGCGGCACAGCCTAGCTCACAGTGTGGCCGTGCCCACGGCAAAATATCGGCATTCAAGGCAAAAATCGACGACAATCAATCGGACCAAACTCAATCTGCATCAGTTACATACGCAGCAACTGCCGGTCACGCATATGTCAACCATGGAGACGTGCCTTGGCTTTGAAATGCACGGGGTACATTTTCGTGTATACTATGGTGCATCTTTGATATATTTCTTCAAAGCAATTTCGCATCATGACCCCTAGCAGAGACTACGAAACAGCACACGCAATCGACTTCGTCCGCATTGCGAGCCTGTTACAGGTTGTATCGAAAGGACTTATTCTCACGGTCTGTTAAATCTTGTAAACCATGAGTTATTTCCGGTGGACCATGGTTGCGCTCTCGTTCTTGGTTCTCTCTCGCCAGCGCGAACCGCAGTCCCAGGGCCACAACAAAACACGCGGCAAAACAGGCCATGACACCAATAAAACTTTGATCGTATCGTGGAGCCCATTTCCTAGACATCACGTCGGAGAAGCCCGTTCGGACAGGTTACAAGTTCTAAATTTCGACAACCACCTACGCATCAAAAATTAAGGGGCCGATGATGTTGCCCAAGGAGAAGCCAATAAAGGTTCCTGCGGCATATACAGCTTTTTTGGTGTATCCAGCCACATTTGATGTGCCCAGGCCAATGCACTAAACCCATGCGGAGGAGAAATAGTTGATCAAGTAGAAGCCGGCAGTACGACCACCCCGATTAGTATCAGGTAGTTGCCACCTATCCGTCGTTGACGCGTAATCAGTCAGTCACAAAGCGTGCCACGGAGAACCATAACTGGGGTTTTGCTCAAAGAAGGCCACATCCAATTATCACAAAGAAACAGGACGCAGCGATGATGAAGAACCGGGAATTGGGTACAGTTCGACCCAAGTATCCTGATCCGAGGATACAAATGAAGGCCAGAGCACCAATCGGCAGATTCACCAGCGGAGATGTGAAGACGTCGATTCCCATGCCGTTGAAAATTATAGAGCCAAAGGCAGTAACGACACCTGAGCCCGTGAAAGATACCATGGGCAGGGTTATCATGCCCCAGAGATGATGATCAGTTAGCGCTTCTCTTAGCTGGTAAGGTTTGAAGTAGTTGTTTTCGGCTCCGGCATTGTTGGCCCGAACCCGCTCCTCCAACAATTTTCGCTCCTCCTCTGTGAAGCCCTTGGCATTGTGAGGCGTGTTTGGAAACACCCGTCAAAGTACAATGCCCCAAAGAAAGGTAATCGCATCAGCGATGAGATACATGTATTGCCATGGATGGACTGGGCCTCCTGATATGTGGCCCAGGCTGTAGTTGATGAGGGGCGATACTAGGAGTGAGCCGCCACTGAACGAATACCAGTAGCTGGACCGCAATACTTGTGCCGAGTGGGTGTACCAGAGGTCAAAGATGACGGCCTGGCCAAGAATGGCCTTGTCATCGTACTGAAGTGCATATGCAGCGCAAGGCTGAAGATGCTGCTAGAGGATGCAGTATACGTACTAGTTGACTCGTCTTTCGGAATGTAAGTAAAGCTAGGATTTATGAGATGGGGATGCATACAACAGGCACTAGCCTCCCGTCAATCGTTCGGAGAAGTCGTCGGTTGGTCGTGCCGTCAATCTCGGCAAAAGACGGGGCTTCTCAGGGCGACGTTTCTTCTGCCCTGACACTATCGACGCCACGGTCAGAATTTTGACCAACTCTTGAGCTGTACTTTGGCTCCCGTGACATGATGACAATGCAGGAGTGACGAGAAGGGTGAGGGAATGGAAAATGCCGGGTAGTTTCCTGACCAGGTGCGGACAGCACAGCTTATAATGGCTCAAGATGAGTTTTTTCTTTAGCCCTTCAGCCCTTTACATGGCAACCAAGGCTACCCCGGATTCCCCCCGCAGCACAACATCGGCAATGACTGGTTGAACGACATCGGTGGCGTCAAGACCAGAGGTCACATTAGTTACGCGCGGCGAAGCGTTCAATGTTTCCTAAATAAACTTATCCTTGGGTCGCGACCCACACATTTCCGACCGGTCGATGCTACCGGTCGACGCTATTCCGATTGGCACGTATCCGACCCCTGCACCTTCCCCGGCTCGTTCGGTCAGCCATTTCCGAGGGCTGCTTACTGGTTGCTGAAAGCTGGCCTGGGGGATGAAGGAATTCCAACGGAATTGAAGTGCTCAGTGCTGCCAGCTGACCCGTCCAATTGAGGGCAGTAAATCGCGGGGAGGTTGGCTCTGTCGTCAACCTGCTACGTATTTGAATTCTCGCCTCGCCATCCTCCTCCCTCAGTTCTGGGCTGCCGAGCCATGTAGCAAACTATTGAGAACATTCGCAAGCCTCAATATATACTCGTTGATCTTAGGTGACAACTAAATTGGGTAATTCTTTATGCCCTGGGAGAACTATGAAGCTAGCCACGCGATTGCTTAGAGCGAGGACGCCGTCCAGCCTTAGGGTAGCTCGGCAACTTCGACCAATTCGTCTTGCTTCCACCTCTTCGGCCGCACAAAATGGAAGCTCCAGGACTCTTTTGTATCTCGGAGCTGGCCTGCTAATTGGCGGTGCTGCCGGCGCTTCTTTTCTAGGGCCTCGTTCTGGGGGAGTGTTATCGGGCGTCACTCCTCGATGGCGGGATGTACCTGGAAGCCGTGACGCACTCTCTCGCAAATACGCCGACATGAAAACCATGCTAAAGGTACGCTGGGAAACGAAGCATTTCAGATTCGAATGCTAATTTCTTCTTCTTCACGTAGGCGGTTGACGAAATACGATCAATACTAGGCGAGGATGCAGTCAGTGTAGAAGAATTCGACCTGGAAGAGCACGGCTACTCCGAATGGTCTACTTCCAACACAGAAGTTCGACCAGTTGCCATTGTTCGACCCCAATCAACAGAGCAAGTATCGACCATCGCTAGAGTATGTACCAAGTACAAGGTGCCAATGGTTCCTTATGGCGCAGGGTCAAGCGTCGAAGGTAACTTCAGCTCCCCGTACTCTGGCATATGCATTGATCTATCTACCATGGATAAGATTGTAGCCTTACACGCCGAAGACATGGACGTGGTGGTCCAACCAGGTGTTAACTGGACCAATCTTAACAATGACCTCAAGAATTCGGGACTGTTCCTCCCCCCAGATCCCAGCCCGACAGCCCTAGTCGGCGGAATGGTCTCGACAAACTGCAGCGGTACCAATGCCACGAGATATGGCACCATGAAGGATTATGTAGTCAACCTGACGGTGGTTCTCGCTGATGGGTCCATCATCAAGACCCGTAACAGACCCCGAAAGACCTCTGCCGGCTACAATTTGAACGGCCTCTTTGCCGGCTCCGAAGGGACTTTGGGCATCATTACTGAAATTACGCTGAAACTAGCGACTGTGCCATCTAGCCACAGCGTTGCAACTGTCACGTTTCAGAATATCAGACAGGCTGCAACTGCAGCGGCTTCAATCGTTCGGTCTGGTGTACCTGTGGCCGCTGTTGAGCTCATGGATGACGTACAAATGCAAATAATTAACAAAAACGGAGGTGCTGGGGGTAGAATGTGGAAAGAACTACCAACTCTATTCATCAAGTAAGATAACAAAGACATGCTTCCATTTCCAATACTTACAAAAGCCTTGAATATTTTAACCATGCTCGGACAGATTCTCAGGAACAGATGCCACAGTTAAGGACAATATAAAATCCGCTCAGACGGTTGCCAAATCCTTTGACTGCAAATCATTCGAATTTGCCAGTAGCCCCGAACAAATGGAGGCCCTGTGGTCTGCAAGAAAGCAAGTGCTGTGGGCGTCTTTGGCTGTGAAGCCGGAGGGCACTGAAGTTTGGTCTACAGATGTAGCTGTTCCACTGTCGCGAATGGCTGACTTGATTGGCAAGTGTCTTCCATTCACCTGGGACGGGACCGCGCTAATAAGAGTAGAATTGTCTCAGGAGAGAGCAAGGAAGCTTGGGCTATTTAACAGCATCATAGGGCATGTCGGCGATGGAAACTTTCATCAGATGATCATGTATAACCCGAACATTCCCGAACAGAAGAAGGCGGTTACAGACTGTGTCAACTTGATGGTGGAGGGTGCTATCGCAATGGAAGGAACGGTCTCAGTGAGTCCTGTCTGATCCAAGACGTATCAAACTTTGGTTGTCTAATTACCCCGAAGGGAGAGCACGGCATCGGACTCGGAAAAAAGGTATGTAATCAAATCCCCCGAGATTGATGCAAGCGTATGACATTGTCTACTAACAATTTCACTAGCATTGCTTGGCAAAGGAGCTTGATAGTGCAACGCTGGGAGTCATGAAAGCTTTGAAGGACTCTCTTGATCCCCAGTGAGTATTGGCAGTATTCGAATGTTAACCGTGACTAATAAGATAATAGCTGGCTGCTTAACCCAGGGAAGGTCTTCGATGAGTAGATATTAGCCGTGAGTCCGTGACGTAAAATTAAAATAGTGACATATTTGATCGATCAAGAGACAGTTCAAGTGCCAATAAAGCAGCTGTGACTTGGGTATGGCTAAAATTGCAACACGGTAGAGTCGAAGTAAGAATAGCTCTCCTAAGCTGATCGTGTCGTCAGTAGCAACCCCGGATGCTTGAGCCGAGACGGCCAATTCCGCCGCCATACAACATTGTGGGGTCTAATGCCTTGATTATCCGACCGTCGTCATCATGTGTGGACTTCACTTGATGCTTCATTCGGAGACCACATTCACCCACGCAGGCGAGACAGGGGCCCTCGCCCAAGAGCAACCATGACGACGCATCGGCAACGTCGCCGGCTTACAACTTTCGGCAGAGGAGCACTGCAACGCCATTCGAGACTACAGGACCGGAACGCGACGCGAAGAAGCGTCGTCAGAACACAGCCATGAAATCCGGTATTCGCCGAACTCGTCGGCTGCGCCCCTAGATGCCAGAACAAGAGTGACCTCAGCGCAGCTGCACAATGCCGTGGATGCCCTGGATCTGTTGACGTCTGCTGGGACTACTAGTACCCAAGATGTCAACGACTTGAATAGCTGCTCGGCGACTACGCCCCGACTTACCGGGAGAGTCAGCCGGTGAGCAAAGGATCTGGAATAGTTTCATCCTGATAAATAAGGATCTACTATCCAAGAGCGAGGCTGTTCAGTACTTTGGCTTCTTCTTTGAGAAATTATAGCCGCTGAAATCCATCGTGCCAACGTACTACAAGGACAGGACCCGTCACATTACCACCGGCTGATTGCAGAGGAGCCACTTCTTGGTAAGTGCCTTATTACAATAGTATCTTCAAGGTACGCCGTGTTTGTGGGGAGTCATGAACAGATACGCTCGGCAGTCGTGGAGAACATTGCAAAAGTACTTGCGATCGGTCATGTGGGCCCTGGGGGTTCATGGCCACCAGGTCAACGGGTGCTATTGCAAGCATGCTGCTGCTTATTGACTGGCATGTCAAGACGATCAATTTCCCATCCGATTTTACAGATGCCGATTGCGAGAGCGGTGGCCCGTTGGCGAGGAGTGTGGAAGTAGGCGGGCAGCAGCGCTATGGCATGACATCTGCCTTGGAGAAGTTGAACATCTTGTCTCCGGCTGACAGGAGCAGTAATATGGCGTGATGTGCCCTCGGCCTATGTGTACATGCGACTTGGAAAGAGTGCTCGCTGATGTTGTACAGGACTCTGCTATCAAACGCCATCGCACCCGGTCATGAGGGGGGAGGGGGGGGATTTGGCCACGACTTTGCACCCAATTTTGAACCGATCTCTGACCCTGTCGCGTGGTGGGACGCTGCCTTGGGCCGGCATGGGGCACTTCGCTTCTCGCAATAAAAAATATAAAAGATGAAAATAAGTGAAAATGCATAGATGGCTCGGACATTTAGCGTGTCTCCCGACAAGACTTGGCTTGTGGAGAAATCAAATTGCCGGTCGGGCTTTTTTGTTGGCGGCCTACTGTAGACACTGTAATGGCAGGGACCAAACGATTCATGTACATATGTACATGTATGTACTCCGTACTTAAGTACGTACAAGCTTCTTTGTCGTTGCAGAGCAAGTAGTACATGGGGTTGTAGGGAGTACCGAAAGCTCTGCCAAGCCATGATGCCCCTCGGCACTTCGAAGTCAACTGCATCCGTGTAAGATATCCCCTGATATCTGGGTGAGAAACTATTCAAGTGTCCCGGCGTATAACTCGAGCATAATATGGAAATCTCTCGGTGGTGCTGCAAGAGATGATATTACCATGCTTCCAGGGGGCGCACATAAACAGGGACGGGACCATGAGTCCGCGACACACCCCTCTCTCAAAGAACTTGACCTCTTTAACGGAAAACTTCCCTCGTTGGGGGCGTATGCTGAAATGAATTTGTGGGGGGTTGAATTTCCGGCCAAGACTTCTAGAAGACGTCGCCTGTCCTTGTTCAGAGCAGAGCCGGTAAGATTTTAAAATGACAAGCCATATGTGAGACCATGGTATATTACTTGACGAAGCTGGGATAGTCTCCTGCTGAATAGTACGCAATTTGCACATATGAAATCACTTGCCGTAATGACTATGTCTTGATGTAATTACTATCATCGAGAATGACTGAACTAATCCATCCCCTTGAGACTTCCGGACGTCATCATCACGCGCAACGGCCACCTCTGCTGTATGGCTGACGGGCTGACACAATGATAGCGCCGCCACCGACGTGATATTCTTCCGACCTTGGACGTCCCTGACTCACAAATGCCGACGCAACATCTGTGCCTTTACTCCGTACAAGGTATCTTGCACATGTTGTCTGTGCTGCTTTGCCGTCTGCGTAACCTGTTCAAGCCGCCACGTGGGGTAAAGTACATGGCGCAATAATGAACCCGTTCACCGTATTTTTGTACCAGACGTCAGGTTTGATGATATGGCGTTTTTGTCTGGTGTCATTAATCATTGATGACAGCTGTCGAAAAATTTGGGAAAGACGATGCCCCCTGCGGTGGCTGAGGATCTTGAATTTGACCCCTGATCGTACTGTTGGCCCTGGCTTGAACACGGCTAATATTCACCAAGTACAATCGTTATCTCCTCTCGTGCGGGCTGTGCTTGACGGGAGAAACTGATGACAGGAACCTTGGCATGAGCCAGAGCTTATACTGTGGAAAAGGACGTCTTACACCGAAACAACTGGCGATTAAAGAAAACGTGGAAGAGTCAAGATTTATGTTTGAGACAACAAGAAAAGAAACCGTTTGACACCCGCCGTTGAGACAACCATGTCCTCTCTTCTTGCTGTGATGGATAGTCTACTGCGGACTACGTATGCGAATCCAGATAGTTATTCTCTGGATTTGCTAAGGGAATCAAGGGCGAGCTTCGTTCGTGCCTTTTCCTTCTCAACTTAACACAACGCCTTGGAAGCTCGGCGGAATGCAACGTCTGTTATCAAGGTTTGCGGGTTGGGCACATACCGACTGGAGACCACTGTATACTTTAAGTACCTGACAAGGTTGTGGCAAGCGAGTACTCGGCAGTTGTCGACTGGCCCTGGGGACCAAAACCATGCACGTTTCTTAGAAAGGGCAGTAGAATAAGTGCCTCAACTCCTAGATGCTAGAACACCACAGTAGGCGAGCCTACACATCGAGACAAACGAGAAAAGGTTGCGATCATGTTCAACGCTTGCCGGAGAACCGTATTTCAATCCAGGTCCAAGCCCAAGAGTCTGGTCTGTTTCATCTCCCATCACTCAGTATAATTCTTGTGATACATGAACCACTTCTACGGACAACGCTGTAACAGTGTCCATGGTGTGGATGAACGAGCTGACGCAAGTGCTCAACTAAAAGCGAGTCAGGCACAAGTGACGAGAGAATCGGTGCAATGTCCCTCATAAAGACGAGAACCTGCTAACCTCGGTGACGTTGTGGCACTTTTTGATACGTATGTTGTGCTATGCTGTGAGATGGCCTCTTGTGCGAGCCTATACGCTGTTCGGCCGCAAGTGCGCTGCTCTGTTATACGACAAATGTTTCCTCTATGAAGAATAATACTAGGCGGTGGCAGTCAGGATTGGCTAAATGATTGCTTCGGCACATGGAAGCAACCTAGCTATGCAACTGCATTCCTCATGGCTTGTCCTACTCCGTACAGGTATCCACGGCATCCCCTCGGCTGTTGCTGCTCCTGATTTTGAAGGTCCAGGCCAGATTCGTAACATATCCTGGGCAGACTTGCAAATACTAACAAATTTGTTTCCTAGATTGCGTCGGAGAGCCCAGGAGAACTGCCTAGCGTCGGATTGCAGTAGTAGTAGTAGTAGTAGTAGTGGTACGTAGCTGTGTCTTATATTTCTTTATTTTTAGGTGGCTCTTGTTCTGTCTAGCCAAGCCACATTCATGGGCTCTACCCTGGCGAATGTTGAGTGGCCGGCAGCTTGCAAGACATGATCCGGACTTCCTTGTTGCAAAAGACCAAGCACTCTGTACCTCGTAGTCGTATCACAACGTTGAGTAAGCGAAATTGTGTTTCTCAGCCTTTCTATGCGTGTGACGGAAAACCATGCCTGAAGACTCGGTTAGCTGTTTTGGTGTTTGCGGCCGCTCAACAAGCCACGAAACCCCAGTCTCAGAACTCGTGTTCATCTTCTGTCATTTTGAAAGGCGAGAGCGGACAGCTCATATTTTTAGGCTTACATACTCCGTAAAAAGATATCAACGAACATCGACCAAGCTCACCATTGAGCACAGAACGCGAAGAAGCTGCAGGTGTGGAGCGTACCTACAAGATCTCTGGAACCACGACGTGGGAGGAGCTCAAGCTTCACCTGTCGAGTCTGGTGCCTTCCCCCTAACTTTCCATGACCCTGGCCACCAGCGGTGGCACTCCCCCGCTGAGCTGGACTTGAGTATTCCGTCCAGACGTACGTACATACGGAGTATGTACACAATGTTCGTTGCCGAGTGCCACAAATTTTCTCCGTGACGATCTTCTGGTCGGTGCTTGTTCTGGAGCTGCCACATTGTTCGCTTCAATAGGGATGCGTCTTGGCCCGTGGGCCGCCGGGGCCTTTACCTCCACCGTCATCCTTGAGCTGGCTGAGTATAAGGCGTATTAAAAGTTTTCTTGGCTGCAACGTCGTTCTTGTCATGGAGATGGCCTGACCGGATCATGTGTGTTCACAATCGTGCTTTGCGAGGCGTGGGAAGAAGGGGGCTTGATACCGACTCGGATGCAGGCACGACCAGCCGCCGCTCTTGCACTTTGTGCTCCGTGTACTTGGTGCACTGTTGTCCGGTATGCTCGTACTGTCAGAGTCCTGTGTATATAATACTGGTGTGTCTGTGCAACCTGCCCCGTATGCCAGTGCAAAAAGAAAATAATACATCAAGATATCGCTGCCCACGCGATCAACTTTTGACGTTCTACAGATTCTCCGTGCAAACCACCAACCGACTTATACCCATCCCTTCAACGACATGGATGGCGAGCCTGTTGCTCAGATTCAGATCATTGCTAGCGACATGCTCTTTTTCGGCTTGCTGCAACTTTGAACAATCCGGACACAAGGGCAAGTGCTTGGGCATTTTGCGGTATTGCCCTCCCCTGCCCTGATTATCTTAATCGAGCACAACCTTGGCATCGCCAAGCATCTCGTACAGTCTTTTCTCCCAGGCTTTACCTTGACTGTGGGCTCTATAATACAATTGTACGGCATATTCTGTTGTACACTGTACAGCTCGCAAGCCCCCGCCATTTTTTGTCGTTCAGTCTGCAAGATTTCTTCTTCCCACCCAGTCCAGCGTCTGGGAAGGCTGCAAGGAGCTTGCAAGTGCGAAGGATCAGATTGGGGAGCGTCCTGGGCCCTGTCAATTGCTCCGTTTGTTAAGAACGGGGTTGCATCCAAATTTATCCAGTCACAACTACTGAGTACAGACAGGTACATACTTGACATCCAGTCAGTTAATTAGAGTCGTACGTTTTTGGGCGATAGCTCGGTTGCTGGGCTAGCATGGCTCAGGTCGACAACAGCCGGGCCTGGGAGGCCGACGACAACGGCAGCCTCCATTTGGCTTATCCCATTTCTCCCGTCTACTATCAGGAGATGAAAAGCTTTCTCGATCTCGACTCTCCAACCAAGAGCTCATTTTCTCTCTCGACCGGCGAGCACGACCATGCCGACTACTACCATTCCAGCTTCTTGTTGTTGGATTCGGTTCCTGCTGCGGTAGCCATCATGGCAGCTAATGCGCCTTCGACTATTGAAAAGCTAGAGTCTATCGCTAGCACGTGTAGCGCCAGAGACAACGGCCACCAAGCTAGACTTGGCTCTTCCAATAGCCTTGCGACATTTCCAATGTCTATCAGGACAGAGACATCATGTACCAGTTCCAATAGCTCCACAAGAAGCCGAAACCGACAATACATTCTGCCGAATGCCGGAGGTCCTTTTCGTCGACGACGAGTGCGAGACAGTTTTACTGACGGCGGCGACGATACCGAACATTCACATATGGGCAACACACAGCATCACTGCTATAGTAGCATAAGGCTCATGAACAACGAGGTCGTCAAGAAAGCTGTACCACCACCCCCAAAGCCTCAATCTAGAAGCTCAAATCAAAGATGCAACCCCATGCAAACATTCAAGCCTCTGCGGAGCTCTTGCCACGGCAGAGCATCATCCTCAGATGGCCTGCCACGGTCTCCAGCCCTGACGAGGGATGAATTCGAGGCACTGCCACCTACTATTCAACGCAAAGTAAGTTAAGAACGCTGGAGCAAGACGCATCGAGAACAGAGCAGCAAGCCATGGAATTGGAGACTTGACAAGACGGACACACAGGAGTCACCAGTTGACAGGCTCTCAGCCCGAGCCTGACATTACTCCTTTAGGATGGTCCTGCAAAGAAGCAATCCGCATATTGATGGCACATAGACAAAGGCGGAAGGTCCAGGCACAGTCGCAAAAAAGCACGAGATGCCAGTTTTGTCTGCAGCAGGCGCAACTTTGGCATATCGTTGCTTCCGCTATCTGTGCACTGGCTGCAAGTTGCTGATCTTGGTCGTTTTGGCTAATTAAGTATGATTGCTACGCCGCTCTGCCTACTCCCTCAACCTCACGAGGGCGCCTCCTTGTCACTTTCCGTCTAGTTCAAGTCGGCATCCTTGCTTCCGCCAATGTCGTCATCTCTTTTCATTTTCCTTTCTTGCTTGTTTCTTTTTATTTTGTTCTAGTATTTTCTTCCTAATAATTGCCCCGGCTCGAGCACATGTTTACCTCGCCCTTTACGGCTCTTGTCGTACTCCCTGCCCTTACCCATCCCCTGGGCCCCAATATTGTTCGGTCCTCCCCTGCAAATGCAATGCACGGTCAGGCCCACGGCGGTGAGCCATGAGATGTTGACCAGGGATGAACCCAAAGCAGGCCCAAATCCAACACCCCATGTGTTCTCTGTACGGCGTGCGGAGTACTGAGTGCATGTGCTCCGCAAGTACTTGCAACAGTCGTGCTTTGTCTGATTCGCAAGCAGAAGTGCCCTTGGCCGTCCAGCAACACCCCGCGCGACTCATTCGCTGAAAGGGTTCTAAGCGTTCCCTATTTGCTTTTGTCCCTGCATCCTCCTGCCCTCCACACTTTCGTCACAAGTCATATTCAGACCAAGGCCATTCCACATACGGAGAACTAGGACTGTGCTGTGGGCCTGGGCTGGGCGTACTCCGTACTAGTTCCAGCGGTCAAGCACCATTCGGGCCACGACAGCACGTTCCCTCACACCCTCGGTTCAAAACTGACCAGCCAGGGACGGACCAGCTTGCGTAACTGGTCATCCCAAGAGCAATCTGTTAATCTAACAGACTGTCGGTTGTGGCTGCTGGGTAATTAGGGGTGTCCCTGTTGTACTTGTGCCAGGAAGATGGAGAACTGCTCTGGGCTAATAGTACATGATTGTGCTGGTTTGTACGACATACAGTAGTACAAACGCAATATGGCCCTTTAGTTTGCCGCAGTTCACGATGTCACCACAACGTACCCGCTTTCTTGACATATGGTTACCCGTGGTGTGTGTCAGGGCTCGTTCCTGCGTTGAAACATGCCATTCCCTTTCTAGCACAACTGCCTCTGACATGGTAATCTCAACCCGAGATCTAGCCATATGTATATCCCATCCATCCCTTTCATGATTGCTACTTCCTGTTCTCCCCCTTATCCGTCCAGATGAGTCGTTTTCCATGTTTGACACAAACACTAATTACCTCCTGATCCCGAATAGTACTTCTCAACGCTCGAGCGCCTCCGGATCACTCAAGGGCAAGATTACCAAGAAATAGACAATTCTGGCCAGGAGAGCTCTGACAGTCTCTCTTTTGCCTTGTCTTGTGACGAGGAAGACAGACCGCCTCTCAGACTTGGCTTTGGACAGGACGAACTTGAGAACGCTCCCCATCGCCGGCCTCAAGGCAACGCATTGCGGATATATGCCAGTCCAGGGAATCGCCTTAGCAGAAATCGCTACGCTAGCTGTGACCAGTTGAGGGGACAGAGCTCGGGACAGAGTATAATATCGGTTGCAACGGAGGAATCGATCCTTCGAATGGGAAAACGGCAATTGCGATTTGAAAGTCTACCCAGAAGTTCGACGAGTCCGAAACCTAATCCTGGCAGCATGGTGTCGCTTTCTGCTAATGCCACGACTGCGGCTCCGGATCTCAAGTCTACTGCCGATTCCATGTATGAGTCGTTCCGCTGGTTAGAGGAGGAGGAGGACCTGGATTTGAAGTTGTGCCTCGATGACCATCATTTCAATTTACGAGGCGAGGATGTGTTGGCTGAGAAGCACCGGCCGTCATTTAGACGGCACATGTCCATTTCTAAGCTCCCTTTCAGCAGTCGTGCTTCGTCTACGTTGAGTCGGCCAACTACGAAGGACACCTCTGCGAGCCCGCCACTGATGGGATCACCTGTCTCAAGCCCGAGTTCACCTATTCTTGGCCATGTTCGCCGAAGATCACGGGCTCTTTCTCTCATCTCGCCTAACAAGCAGCCAGTTCCAGATGCATCTGTCTCGATTGATGCCGCAGCAGCACATTACCAGGATCCAGACGCAAGGATGAAGCTCCGAGTGTATCTTGCCTCGCCACACAAATTTGACGAGGCCGTTGAATTTGGTTTTCCATCAATTGAGGAAGTACAGAGCAGCGAAAATTACCCACGACGTAAGAGGGCAAGTTTGTCACAAGGACAGTCAACTAACTCCATGGCCAAGTCAAATGGCTCTCCTGAGGATGACAAATCCTCGGTCTACAGTGATGGGGCCTCTACTAAGGAGCCCGAGTCGCCTAGGACCCCAGAAATGGAGAAATCTCTATCAGTCAAACCAGTTCGCGTTAGCCAAGAGAAGGACGACATATCAAACACGGCCGGTTATGCTCAAGCACCAGCAGCATGTCGGGAAATGACACTCCGTATGACCTTGACACGGCCCGATCTTCGCGCAAATGAGGATCAAATTTATGGTTGGCAAAAGACCTCCAATGGACGAAAATCTCAGGCCAGAGACGAGCCGTTGTCGCCAGTGTCTACTACCCGAGAAGGACACTCGAAAGAAAGCATTGAACGGCAGCTTGCCACTATGGATCAAGAAGACCTACTGGCAAATGACAATGGCGTAATGAAGAGATTCTGGAACCGTGTGCGTCGGTCATAATTTTGTGCTGATATCGGCCTGAACTACTCGAGAGATGCCACCGCCGTACTTGGCTTACGAATCCTTTTATCTACACGTCCCGAAATCGCAATAATACTCAATCCCGCACATGTGTACATCATACACAAGCTACACGAAATACAAGACACAAATACATGAGCAAGCAAGCCCATCTCAGAACTGATGTCACGAAATGAGTTTTTTTTTTCCTTCATCGCTCTCGCTGCGCTTATACCCTTTTGCTGTCTCGATTTTGCTTTTTATTCTACCCATGCCCAACTTCACGATTCTGACGTCAGATGACAAATTTTGGTCATTTAGAAGCGATAATGTATAGATGGTCTGCTTACGGTTCACCTCAACCAACATCACACCATGCCATTAGGAGTTTGACGGAATCTGACAATCATTTTACTACTTGAAGCGAGTTTTTCTTATTTTCTTTGTTTGAACTTTGAGGGACCTGGTCTGTTAACGAACAATGAGAACTATGGACGCACAGGGGAGAGGCCCTGTTTGATTATTTGACTGCGCGTACTGGAAGTTCAAGGAGTCATTTTACTTGTATGGAGGAATTCGATGGGATGATGGAGATGCAAGACATTAAAGGTAGTCGGTAGACACACGACTGTTGTTAATTTAACGCCCTATCCACGAGCTGGGCACGTTTGCCCCGAATCCACCCTTGTCTAAAACTACTGTGATGCGTATTGATGAATGCGGCGAGGTTATGTTGTTTCATCACGACTCTCGGACACTGGGTTTGTGGGTTTCGGAGCCGGCGACGAAGCAAGAAAGCACCAATATCATGTGGCCAAGTGTGCTTTGTACAGCATGATATCACGGCGCTGCATACATACATGTATGTGTGTACATGCAACCTTTGTTACAACGTGATTGTAAATTTGTATGTACTTTGCAACCCGCTCAACGTGCTCAACGTGCTGTAGGCCCAAACAAACCAAATGCTTGGTGCAGCAATCTCCTGCATAAGCAGTTGCTTTTTGGTCCGAGCATGGCCCCAAGCCCCGCTTCTCAGGAGTGTCTTGTTTATTCTTTATTTTTCTTTTGCTCTTTTATCTGTCGTGGGCTAGCCTTTTTTTATTGCTTGTTCACCAACCACGAGGCGCTTACAAGTCGGGTAAAAACTGACGGCCTTGTCGTGGCCCAATTCCATAATAGTCGCTGTTCCGCAATAAATTTCCTTCCCGGCGGCGAGGGCATGGAAGAAGCGTGGTGGCTTGATTTAGCTCGCTGCAGGGTCGATGGGACGAACAGGTCGAGACGGACAGGGCACCCTCGTTGGAATCCAAGTGCTGCGTCCCTGTAACTGGACTCTCGGACCAGTACTCCATAGTCGAGTCGCAGCTTGTAACGCGCTCTGGCTGGCAGACCGCAAACGGCGCCTCAGCCTCAGGTTGTGATTATTGCTATGGAGCTGGTCGGGTGGTCCTTCTTTCGGGCCTGGCCGGGGCCCAGCCGCCATTCTCTTGCCCCCCTCCCTGGTGGCACACGCGGGTCCGAGCACCTGCAGATGTGGCAAGCCGCAAGACCAAACCAGCTCGAGCTACTCCGTAGTAGTAATATACAATTACAAGTACTCCGTAGCTTGCCAGCGGACTTTGGATGATGCCGGGGACGTACATATTAGGTACATGAATGGATTGCTGCTGGTTCAATGTTGGTGGTGCGGGCCCCATTGACGCCTTTGGGTACTATTATTTTACATGACAGCTTGAATTGCAAGTTGGATCGCCAAACTTTACCAACAAGAGCGTGAACAAGATCTGGACCTTCTGTGTGACGGAAACAAGCAAATTGATGAGCACCGTGCTCAAGTACCTGGGACAAGCACTCTCGAGTGCTGTCGGGAGCCCCATATCCCGCGCAACTAGCTCATGCTCGTCATAAACGCCTCAAGTGCTGCCTGCTTACCCCAGCCGTTGGTGTGGAAATTAAATATAGTAGTACAGTAAAAAAAAGCACACGCCCTCTTTCAATCCTCGATATCATCGTCGCTTAATACTAACTTTTGATCTAACATGCCGGACATGCCGCCTGCTTTAATCCGCGCAGTCTTCTTGCGTGGACTTGATTCTTCCGAGGGTTTGTCTGTAGCCCAAGCCTCGCCCAGCGTTGCATCATCCTCTGCCTCGAATTCTTCATCGGCGGCAGCCGTGACGCCATGAAAGGACACGACTTTTTCAAGATCTCGTAGTCTCAAACCTGTTCTTCGGGTTCGTGCCATGTGAGCCATGTAAGGTAGCCGGTCGAGGAGCATTTCCCGCTGAGCTGAGCTGCCCAGTGACAGCAAGGGCGATGGGGCCGAGGATTCTTCCTTTTGCTCGGTGGTGTTTGCAGTTGCAGCGCGTGCCTGTTGGCGCTGCATCCAAGAAGAAGGCTCTCCAGAGGATTGGGACCTCAGAAATGCATTTGCTCCGTCTGTTAGATTTTTTGTTGCCAGTTCTGATTCGCCCTTCAGTATCCTTGATGACCACATGTCGATAATGCCCTCAATCTCTTCCTTGGCCTTCCAAAGCTTCAAACTCGTTGGATAAAACATCTTGAATGCATCGCTGCCTTTGGCCATTGTAGTTGTCTTGCGTTTGACCGGGCTTGGTAAGGAGAAGAGCATACCTCTAACGGCGACTTGGAATGTCATCTCGTCCTGCCGAAGAAGATGGCTGCCTGTCTCTCGACCGCTGAAACCACCAAAACCGCCCCTGCCTCCAAAAAATACGTCTCGGGACGGACAGAGCAGATCGCTTTCTGATAAACACTCTATACATTCATTGACATAGTCCACTGGTGTTGATAAATCCATAGGGTCAGTGCTCTCACATGAAAGAATGTAATTCTCATGGAGGGCGGATATGAATGTATGAGTGTCTGTACCGATTTCATCAATAAGAGAATCAACAGATACTTGCGACCTCTTCGGCCGGGCATGTTCTGATAGGAACGGGGGAAGGTTTTCGACAGCATCATTTGCTGGCGCCTTTTCGTCCCTCTTGTTATACACGATTTTGCCAACTGCGTGAAATATGCCCAAGCTGGCTTCGCGTTGCGATATCAACTCTAGGCTCTCTGCTTCCCCCTTTGTCAAACTAATCGAATCCCTCGTACTTTTTTTGATTTTGGTAAAAGCGACCTTGGCTCCCCAGTCCGAGTCTTGGTCCCCTTTGAGGCACAAGAACTCGAGAGAGGAGACGGCGTTTCGAATGTCTCCAATTTCGCCCAGTCTCTTAAGCACTTGGGGTCCAGGAGTTCGTTTGCGGCCAGACTTTCTCGCTTCCTTTAAGACGACAAGCTCCAGGGCCTTTGCCAGGATCGAAGGTGCAATTGCATTGAACTCTATCACACCAACACCAGGGTGGCGAAGTATTTCTGGTCCCAGCAGACGGTGAGCCGTAAGACTATCGGCTGTTGCGGACGTTGTTGTCAACAAGGTCTCTGAAATGACCAAAACAATCGGACTGATCTGATTCCTATGCTGAGGTGCCTTCCCAAAGCTGGCCAGTGAAGGCGTGTGCGCAGCCAGGTACTGGAGTATTGTGCTGCGGAAAGAGGTCAACGCCGACGAGGACCTTGAAAATGTGTTTGGGAACTCCTCTACGAGAATGATTCGCTTGGCTCGACTTTGAGCAAGCCCATTTGAGTTCTTCATAGTTGTGTTGACCGGCTCCTCCACATCCAGTGTCCCAAATTTGCCGCTACGGCCAAGGAAATCCCCGAACTGGCCCGACACAGAAACATATCCCGTGCCCGAATTCGTCGTAGGGTTTTTCCACTCAAGCAGTTCACACCCCATATCGGTTGCCAACAGCCGGACAGTGGTTGTCTTGCCCGAGCCTGCTGCCCCTTTGAGGATCAAAATCCGCTGTCGCATGCGTCCTGACATGACATCCTCTAGCCATTTTCGAACATCTGCAACTTTCTTCTTGTGGACTGCCAGCTCATCCAGATTTCGTGGCCCGAACCGCTCCGACCATGGTCGCAAATCGTCATCGACACCAACTGGATTTGCAGGTCTGGGTGGTTTGAGGAACATGGAGCCAGTGTTCGACGACTCACTCGCCGCAGTTGCACTCCCATTTTTCAATCTCTTACGGGCATGTTGGCTGACCAAGCTCGATGAGCTAGCCTTGAGTTCTGATATTTCGTCATCTTCGGATATTGGATCGCTGATGGGGTCATCGATGGGCGAAGGTCGCTTTTCGCTGCCATTCCCCGGCTTCGTAGCCCGTTGGGCTTGTTTCAAAAAGAGTGCCTTGAGATCGGCCGTCTTGCCCCTTTCTTCGATTCGTCCAACATTTTTGGACTTCTTGGGGCTGAGACTGCTACCATTCTTCTGTAAGCTTGCCTGCCGCGTCTTTCGAGGAGAAAAACTGGTGCCAGATTGGCCCGCAAAACCTTTGCCCTTGGGGGAACTCGTAGACGCAGTCGGGGCTGGGTCTTTTGACGAAGAGCTTGGCGAAGACAGAAGGAAATTGGAGAGTGTGTTGGCTCGAGGCTGCTCATCTTCGTCATCAGACGCCTCAACTGGGTTCCGCCTGCGGCGTTTCGCGGGCGGTGCCATCAAAGCGACTGAAGCATTTGTGTATCCGGAGTTCCATACGGGCTGGGTTTGTAGAATTGAGCTCAACCAGTCAGTCGGGAAGGCTGCCAACTGGTCTGGTGTTGACGGCGAGTGATGGGAGGAAGCAACACTAAGTACTTGGAGGTGGTTACGTCGATTCAATGTTTGCCCCAAGTCTGGTCACTGCATGCTGCCAGACCAGACCAGACTCGACCGAGCCAGCTGAAGTGCCAGGCTGCCAGGCTGCCAGGCACTATGTTGACATCACTGTGGTGACCCGGCCCACTGGACATGGAGGCCATGCGCCAGAACTAATGTCAAGTTCCATGTCCACGTGCGTGCAGTCAATATCTCAGTGCTGTCTGGTCAATAGCTTACGGCGACCTGGACCCCACCAGGCTTCAACATTAACTACTCCGTACCACTTGACATGCAGTGCCCCAAAGTCCATTTGGGCATTGACTTCTAAAGTTGATAAAAGTAAGCAGTCACTAGCGTGTGCATGGCACCAAAGGAGCATGCTTATCGACTGATTTGTATTTAATTAGAGTAATGAACAGATACAATTTCAATTTGTAATGACTCACACATAGGTGTACATACAGCGGAAGACAAGTTTTCCCACTCAAACACAATCCTTTACAAGTACATGCGATCCAAAACCCTTCGAGATTAGAAACTCCATCCGTGAAAATTGTCCACAAATGTTGCAGCCGCCCGGAGATAGAAAGTATCCTCGTCTCCCCAAAGACTACCAATTTCCCTCATTGATCGAATTGCTAAGCAGCCAGTTAGATTATCCAGTCGGAAACTTTAGGGGCCATCACTGGTAACCTACCCTTGACATAATGTGCATCGCCTGAAAACTGGGAGTTCAGCGCCTTGTCCTGGATATACTCCCAGCCACGGCCATTGCAGTCCTTGTCAATGTTTTCGAGATCCGGACATGGCCTTCCCTTCAAGACAAAGACTGCAATGACTAAAAGCCACCACTGCCTCACAAGGCTGATGTGATACTTGGCTGGGAAGAATGGCAGCAGGACCCTCAACGCATAGCTGGTCGTAAGCAGATGCACGATGAAGAAGTTGTAATTATATGATTTATGGTCGACCGATGTAACAAAAAGCGCGACGGAGGCTCTCTGTGATGATTCAAAATCCTTGATCGGATCGGAGATCTTCCAGGCATTCCAGTACTCCATTATCAGGTCCTCGTGATTGGTAATCATGCCTTCCAGGCTTCCAAAGTCAATTTCTTTCGACAGACTGTCGAAATTTGCATCCTCGGACATCTGGACAAGCAGATCAAGCACTGAGCTGTTGCTCTTAGATGAGGGCCTCGTGTAGGACGCATCAGCGCTGTACTTGTAGAGAAAATTGTGCTGTACTGACGCCAGTGTGAGAGCCTCCATTGCGACCTCTCTGCTGTCCATTTCATATGCATATCCCAGCTGAATTAGAGGGTGGCCAACTAATACACGTCAGTATAGGTGGTTTAGAGAATTTTGGCGCCGTCATATTGAACATACGGCCGCAAATTAGTCCATGGACCAACGGCTTTTCGGACGAGAACAGAAAGTGCTCAACCACCTTCTTCCAGTCATAAGCGTATTCCATGGCCAGTTTGTCCTCGAAGAAATCCACGTATGCTCTTTGATAATGCCTGTCTCCTAAAAAGTCGACCCAGTCATTATCAACCAGCTCCGCCGGAGACGGCGTCCAAGGCTCCAATTCCTTGGCCTGTTCCTCATAGATTTCGTGGAGCTGATTCGGTGTGGCACCGAGTAAATACGCCGAGCTCAGAATATGGGCATTATGATTATCGAAACGGAGCTGGTTATAGACGACAGAATAGTTGACGTGATTAGCCTTGAGCAGATGCTTGAGTGACCGCGCCCTGCGATCGGGGTTGGTTTCTATATGGTGTACTTCCACGGGGGTCAAGTTGATCGCTGCAGCCTTCCGGTCGCCACCAAGCACATATGATAGTATTCCAGACATTCTCGATGATTTAGCAAGACCGCATGATTTCCTGTCGGTAACTGTTGGGTCAAGAAGTGGACTCTTTTATGACGCTGAAAGCGTTGAGGTCATGAGTGGAGATCGAGATGTACAGTCTGGTACTCCGTACTCTACGGAGTATTAGTGGGGGGAACCGGGCTCTTGCTTGTCCTGATTGCACAATGCGAGTCCGCGTCTTTTGCACCTCAACAGACAGACACAGCACAAACAACGCTCCCGTCCCCATCACCGCGCTTCGACTGGTGCAGGCCTACCGCCACACTGCTTTTGTCAGAGCAAACGTCTAATTCAGACGTAGTGACCACCGCCCTTGATGCGGGAGACCGATTCGAGATAACCGTTCCGATGAAGGAGGATCGGATTTCCATCTATGCAGAGTTGCTCTCGAACATCAGACAAGTCTCCATCGCTGCTTCATTGCCGTCGCCTCCAGGTCCCAGGACTGTAGCCAAAGTTTTCGATGGCGGTCGACGGTTATGCATCGAGCATGATGGCCAGACCGAGGCCCTGGATCTGCCAGGAACGGTGTTTGGCAATACGACATTGCAAGTTTCCCAATCGGCTTCTCGCGAACTGACATGGCGATTGCCACTGTCTTCAGAAGGGACGCCATTTCCGCACTTCTCACCCGAAACTCAGGCTGTTCCGTGGGTTGCTTCAGACCTTGAACATGGGTCTGCCATATATTGTCGAAGCTGCAACTCCATCGTCATTCCCAAGGACACCATAGAATCCTGGAAAGACTTGCCTAGCGAAAACTGGGCCGAAATGATGGAGTTTTGGCACTGTCACAAACCACACGATCACAGTGAGCATCAGCAAGAAAGCTTGGCAGATAGAGGATATGGCGCCAATAGTGTTATAACTGCCCAGCCTGGCACTGGCTTTGTTGACATTACCTCATTCATGTTTGATGAAACCAATTGTCAAAACTTACTTGTAAGTTCCGCTGCCTAATGCGACGCCTTTGTATTGCTTTACTATTATGCCCTTTTCAATCTATCCGGGGAAATAGAAGGTGGCCAGATCAGCCGTCAAAGGCTACTCGGTGGTATGGTCATCGATACAATTCCCCAACATCATTGCATTCTGCCGGCCTCTTCTGGGGCAACCAGTGTCTTTGAAACCTCCTCACTCCAGGACGGGTTCTGATGACCTGGATGAACGGCTGACCTCCCAATTTCTTCTTAGTAATCAAAGCCATGGTTGCTGGGAGATCTTAATGAGGTACATTGGTTGGAATATCTTTTGCCACGTTTGTTCGCTCGGTAACGAAAGCCATAAGAACTGTATGCTTACATCCTGCCAGTTTTCGATGTCCACTCTAGCAAAAGCTGCGAGAAATAGCTCCGACGCTGTAGCAGATGCAGCATCGCCAAAGTTTCTACATATTTTCTGCAGTGAATGCAAAGCAGAAATCGGTCTTTTCAACATGAAAATCGGCTCAGTGACTCTGTTCAAGTGGCAGGTCAAATGCAACACGACTGTGCCAAACAATAGAGTCCCAAGCGGACCAGAGTGTCTTGCAGCATCTCTTGTTGCAAATATCTCCAGATCAGGAAGTGCGAAGTCGCTTATATCAGCACACGCGTCCGAAAAGGGGGAGAATCTGACGACGCCGCTCTATCTCTGGGTTCTGAACCCCAATGTCGTCTACTCATCCTCCTTTATTCAGGGCAAGAAAACAGCGATGAAGGTTCTGTATCAGCAGATTACCGCAGAAGAAGGCGATAAACTTACAGATTCAATCGTATTAGATGTACAAGACTTGAGTCTTCCGACTGCCACGATTCAATTATCAAGGGAGATTCTAAAATCGAGCAATCGTCTACTGCCGGAAAAGGAAAGGTCCTTTAAAGAGTGGCAGGTCGGACTTTTGGATCGTTGGGACGGAACAAGATAGGAAACGATAGTAATTTACACACCACTTCAAGCTGATTATTTAGTTGTTACCTCGCTAAAATGAAGAAATCATCGATTTTCACGATTCTCACACACAGTGCGCCATTCGCACTGTCTGCATCATGTCTCGGGAGTGGCGATTCACAGTGTGAAGAAATTAGCATTTACAGTATTAGGCAACAGCCGGATCTTGGTGTCAGAATCTTGCCCCTTTACTATTGTCATCAATCCCATCAGTACTAATAGGACTTACAACTCCTAACGTTCAAGCTTCCTTCTCGCTTTTCTGGGAGAATAAAAACGATACACCGAGTGCTTTAATTTCCTATAATTCCGATAATCATGACTCTAACTTTGAGAAGCACAGTGCAATCGGCTTGATGACGATCTACGAGATGTGGACAAAATGCATCTTCTACGGCATGACTATATCCCTGCCGGATGCCTTGGAGTCTTCTTTGACGATTCCAATGTTACAAAAGAGACCTGGGATACCATAAATCTCAAGGTTTGGAGAAGTTTCCGCCATCACTCTTCTCTGGACCAGTTTGACGACAATCAAGTCCGTGCTGACGATAGTCATTTACCAATTAACGTCCAAGAGCGCCTTTTCCAGCTTCAATTTCTGCAATTAGCCTCACTTCTGTTTAAATCACAATGGATAGATCTCGAGTTTTGTGTACATGAAGATGGATCATATGGCACGGTGCGGGTATATTTGCTACCGGATGATGCATATCGCGGCCTGATTGATAGAACCAGTGTCAGTCTCAAAAAATCGCGGCAACGTCTTCTTCATTTATTAGACTACTCGACAGACGCATGGGAAGGAAAAACTATTGCATGTGTTGATGGCTCATCCCCCCTCGGAGGCGATAACGTGGCAGGCGATGAGAACGAATCGCTGTTGCAGGTGTTTAACAATATTCCCTCGCCTAACCCGGCCACTGACCTGGTTACCGACGCATACGCTCGGGGTTCTATGAACGATGTCTTGGAGCACACCATACCCGGAGTCACCACAGAACTGTACGCTTACCAGCGCAGGTCAATAGCCGTCATGGTGCAAAAGGAAGCAGAGCCAAGCAAGGTTCTTGATCCACGCCTGATTGCTATCGATGGGCATGATGGAACTCCATGGTACACTGATCCGGTGGCTGGGACCATTCTGAGAGAACCACGATATTATGATGGTGTATGTGGCGGCATCTTGGCAGAAGAAATGGGAGCAGGCAAGACCATTATTTGCTTAGCTCTCATCCTCGCGACTAGGAATCTTCCAACGCGGCCCCCAGAGCTTTGCAGCGGCATCAGTTGTCCTAAACGAAACAAAATAGCCTCACTTGCCGACATGGCAGCGGCCTGTGCTACCCGGCACGCCGTTCCGTGGAGATCATATTTTGAAACCTGGAGACGCCAGATTGGCTATGAATTTCATCGATGCGAGGCCGCCCTCAAACGAAACCCAGGATATTACTTGCGTCCTCCACCGAAACTTCGTCGTACCGGTCGACATCCTGTCCAAGAACTAGCGCCTACTAAAATCTACTTGAGCAATGCAACCATCGTGGTTGTGCCTACCAATCTGCTTTCTCAGTGGAAGCACGAAATAGCAAAGCACACTACCTCCTTAACTGTCCGCGTTCTCTCAAAGGATGAATCAATTCCTTCCTTGAGAGAATTATTAGATATCGATATCATCTTATTTTCTCAATCACGATTCGAAAGGCTCGTTAAAGAAAGTGGTGGAGTAGGTGGTACTGCGCTCTCTGTAGTCCATTTCAAACGCTGCATCGTTGATGAAGGCCATAAACTCGGCAATTCAAAAATATGCCGAAAGAGCAATTTGCTACGTGGCCTCGACAGAATGAACTTCTCGTCGCGATGGATTGTGACTGGAACGCCCTCACATGGTCTTTTTGGTGTAGATAACCGAACTCCGGCGGGTTCTTCAGCGAGAGACCCAACATTACTCCCCATACAAACTCGAGAGACATCCGCTGAAATGGAGAAGAAAGATCTTGAGCGACTAGGCTCGATCTCTTCGCTGTACCTGAAGGCGAGGCCGTGGGCGAATGTTGCGACGGAAAACGAAGATACTCGTGCGGATTGGGGGACATATTTGTTACTCCCGCGGCACAAGAAGAACAGTTACGGCCGGCGGGACCGTTTGAAGGCGACCCTTAACTCCTTAATTATCAGACATCGACTATCTGAAGTCAGCGATCTCTTGCCGCCTGTTGATGAAAAGGTAATTTTGCTTGAAGGCTCATTCCAAGATCGGCTGTCCTTGAACCTCTTCGCTATGATGATCATCTTTAATTCCGTGCAGTCACAACGAACAGACATGGACTACTTCTTTCACCCTCGACAGCGTAAGAGTCTATTGGAAATCGTGCATAATCTAAAACAGTCGAGTTTCTTTGGGGGCTCGTTTTTTTCTTCGGAAGAGATCGCAAAGGCCGTTGAAACGGCGGAGAAATTCTTGGAAGAAAAGAAAGTGCCAATCAGTGACGAAGACAGCGTCCATTTGCGACAAGCTATAATACTGGGCAAAGTTGCAATCAATGACAAATTGAGAAATCTCAGCAATCGTTATCATGACATTCCCATTCGAGTCCATGGCCCGCTTGGGGATGCAAGCCATTCATGGTCCCTGGATGGTGAGGGGGGAGATACAATATACACATCAGCAAGTATGATTTTATCTCTGCAAAAATTACTGACTGAGGCGGCCCATGAAACGGAGTTGCTGAACTCTTTGCTTAATGGAGGTCTCATTCGAGAAGGATTGATCGAGAGAAATAAGATCTTAGCTGTACAAACATCTGACAAAGTTGCTGATGCCAAAGAGAAGAAATCGGCTACCTTGGCGGGAAACACCAAACTTGGAGAGGATACTCGACGTCGCAAGCCTCGACTTCAAGCTGGGGCTATAGGTCCAACTGAAGCATTTCCTGTGGACAGCCTGCCACCGGCTTTGCGGCAAACTCATCTAGTATCAACTGTATCCTCTAAGCTTTCGTATCTGATTGACAGCATAGTACGCCATCAAGATGACGACAAAATCATCATTTTCTACGAGAATGAAAATGTTGCTTGGTATCTTGCAAGCGTTCTAGACATGGTACGTGCTTGTAAATGGATTTCGGGTGGGTAGAAAGTGTTGTGTCTGACAGATTTCAGCTTCAAGTACAACATCTCATTTATGCCAGGACATTAACTACGGAACGTAAAGCACAATACGTCAACACATTTCATCACAACCCCGTATTTAGGTAAGTGCCTGATAGCATTTTTCAAAGCCGCCATGCTGACTGCGGTTGTGAAGAGTCCTCCTGATGGATCTTTCTCAAGCTGCTTTTGGATTGGATATGCGCGAGGCCTCACGCGTCTATTTTATCAATCCAGTTCTCAACCCTCAAGTTGAGGCACAAGCAATCGGGCGAGTTCGTCGCATAAGCCAGCAAAAGCCTGTATTTGTTGAGACCCTCGTTCTGAAGGATAGTATTGACGAAGTAATTTTGGAGCGAAAACAACACATGACGCAAGCTGAGCACCGCCAAATGAAGTCTATCCTTGACGTACGGCCGATATATAACTGGATCAAGAATGCTGCCATTGTGGCCCTGCCGCCCTCTGGTCACCATACTCCGACCCATATGGCAGCATTGCAAATGCCACAACCTGTATTTGGTAAAGGATTTGGAACAGAACTGCACCCTGATCATGGACTTGTCTTGGGAGACTCCCCTATCAAGCCAAAAACGAAGACCTCCAGCTTGACGCCCCATATTTCGCCAATTACTCCGTTAAAACGTACATATGACGCTGGACCGGGAATTGAACAGGCTCAGAGTGAAACGGATAAGGTGCTATACAAGCATGAACCTGTGCCACATCCGGGTGCTCGCCGAGTTCGATTTGCGACTGACTCCGATTCAGAAGATTGAGAAGACCACACCTGGGACTTGCGTATTCGGTATTATTAGGGGCGTTACGGGAGGTCGTTTGGACCCGTCTAATTCATTTTCGGCTCTGTTATCTCACAAATATTGTGACAGTTAAGCAGTACTGACCTAAATGTCTCAGCTAGCGCAACATTGCTTGCTCACACATTGGAGCGATGATCCAGAACCATGATCGGATGAGATAATATACAAGACTTATCAGTACATACAACTGAGTAATTCACAGCTTGAATTTTTGTTATGGTCTCCCAGTCTAGCAGTCTCGTCGGGAGCCATCGTGGAACCTTTGAGGGCCGTGGTGGTATTGTCGCTAAGACCTCGAGGCCTGCAAGTCACAAACAACACATGATATTTCCCTGGTGATAAAATTGCAACTTATTACTAGTAACTAGTACTACAACAACACCGGCATATTCTGGAGTGGCGTCTCGGCAAGCCACATTTAGCCTTGCCGGCACCCCAGGCCCATAAATAGGCAATGACGGGTCAATTCTTGCAAGTCCGCTTTCGCCAGCCGGGGCAATACTGTTAGTAGAGTGGCTGGATTTCTGCAGCTGAGGTGCGAGGCACATTGGCTGTTGATTCGCTAGATCCCCGGACGATGGCCGGTCCAGAGCACAGATGAAATTCGCGACTGTAGCATTGAAGCCGCAGCCCAAGCCAGAGAAGAGAACAGAAGAGAGTTGGAAACAAGGTCTATGAGAGCAGTAGGATCGAAACTGGGTGATTCAATAAAGGTTTATTGGATGCCTTGCTCGTCGAATCGTCGCTGCGATATTCCCTCCCTTGGACAACTACAGAGCTGCCCTGCATGTCCAAGTTGAGCGAAGTGGTCTTGCGCAGCCCTTTGACGAATTTGCTTCATCTTCACGCACGCAATCGGTATGCTGGGCAGTTCGTTCAAGGCTGCATTTGCTGGGGGCCAAGGCGGTCGGTCCATTGAGATAAAATTGAGCATGCATATCGGCGACATGGGCCTTGGGAGGCAAGGCTTGATCAAGAGCAAATCCGCGGCCCACCGATGGTGATGATGGAAATGGCCCGGGGACCAGCAGAATCAGCCGAGAGGAGGACCATTCACCATTGCGCTGGCATGCACCGGCAATGGATTACGCGTTTTTTCTTCTTTATTGGTGATGCGAATCCCGGTGATCGTGTACGTTTTTCATCCAAGTCATTGACCAGTCACCAAGAAACCACCAGGCAAGGTTCACTGCCTTAACCCTGGCTTTGAGCTGGCGCCAAAATTTCAGCTGGCGGGTTTGAGGCTTTCCGTCTTGTACTGTATGTACCCTCACCCTTGGGCGACTTGCGGTTGGCGTGGTGAAGACAGCCAGCAGAATCAACAGTCTATTGCGGAGTACTCTGTACAATAGAACCGAAGACGAGAAATGTTCATCAACAAGATCAGCAAAGAGTGTCTTTGGATCCAGCTGTCTGAGCACCAGGGAACGTGGGCTGGCCCACTGATGCAACAGAACAAACGGATCAAAGAGGAGAGATGGTGACTGCCAAGATGCCCCTTTTATTGCCCGCGTCCTGTTCGGGTGTTCAACAAGGATCATGTATGTACCCAAAGAGAACAGACGAAGCCGGAACCTGTTCAGGTGTTCAACAAGGATCATCAGATCATCAGCACCGGCGTCAGCCTCAACATCAGCCCCAGCATTTGGCGACTTGGTTCACTTGCTCTCCTGACAAAGTTCGAGCCTCGTCGAGATTCATTCCAAAAATCCGGCGCAATGCAAATTCACCAATACAACGTCCAACTCGAGTCTAACCTCTATTGGCTTCGATTTGCATAGCCATGTCTCTCGTCCGAATCCACCTTTTGTCCTTGGCGGTCATTGAACAGCGACGGCAGCAATTTCCTTGTTCTGTCAAGTCTGTTGGGGGGTTTGATTAATGCCCACTGGACGGCCGTTTAGGCCCCGGCCATCCAAACTTCGGCCGGGACTAGACCACAGATGCCTGCCATCATTGCAACCCAGGCACGTCAAGATGCCAAGGGGCTCTAGACCAGTACCAACGACAGCCCAGCAAACACAGCATGCGGAGCCCCCCCAGTAGGACTGGTATGCCGAGTCTCAGCAGGGGCCACGATCGACCTGCTGCTCTTTATCCAGAACAGGGGTATACTCCGTTTTGTTGGAGGGGTTGACAGTAGTGTGCGAAGCTGCTCAAGCCATTAAGCACGTTTCATTGTTGGAATATGGTCCTAATATTCTTATAGTAGCTCATGAATATCTCCTCCGCTTCCCCTTTCAATTCCTTGCGATCCCTATCGGCTTTCTCGGAAGTCCAGGCCAATGCTCCTTTTCTTTTTATTCACGTTCAGTCTGGGAATTACCTTTACTCGAGTCCTTTTGTTTCCTATAGGCGTGAATCAGGCCCTGTTGAGGAACTTGAGGAACTACGGGGAGTAGACTGGTCGAGAAGCCAGCACGATTCCCAACAGACCAACAAGCTACAATAGTGTTTAAGCAGCCATGTCAAATTGAGAGCCGTCATCAGCGTCTGAATATCTGGCACAAAAATGAGCACAACAATCACAATGCGGCCCGCGCATCCCGCCGCCCTCGACAGGATGCTGCCCGACTTATACTCGATCCCCGAACACAACAACAATGCCTTGGACGCCAGAAAGCCTCCATCTACCGCCCGACCTCTGACTGCAGGAGATGCGTCTGCATATCCCATGTATCCAGGGCTTCAAATGCCGAGAATAGACCGAAAATCGTCCATGGAAGCACCGCCAGTCCTGAACCGCCCACGAAAGCTGTCAGGCACATCGGAATACTCCCGGGCAGGTGGGCGACACCAAGGGCCGGTAGGCTCAAGGACGAGGAGTCAGTCTTGGGGCAGCGGATTCGACCCTGGACAAGTCGACTCATCCACTTGGAGATTGAGCTACATGCCGCCGCAGACACCTACGCCTCTGAAAAAACAAAAGAGGAGAGCTAGACTTGGGGACTTGGTTGCTTCGTTACCAGGGGAGGTCTTGGAAGTCATTTTCGAAATGTTGAAACAGATTCATCTCGAGAACGGGAATGAAAGTTGTGCTACATGCTGGATGCGAGATGCCTGCAACATTGCGGTTTGTTCTAGAATGTGGTCCAAGGCTGCACGCCTGGCGCTGTAAGTTGATGAATAATTTTGATGAATCTGGAGTGCTTTTAACGGAGGCTAACTATAATCAAGATACCAAGATATTCAATTAAACGGTCCGGATTCGGCAACCCATAAGAAGAGGTTCAAGACGATACAAGGGTGTCGTGTGGCGCTTTTGCGACGCACTTTGAGAGCCAACGCCGAAATTGCGTCAATGGTGCGCTCGCTCAAGGTTCCTGCGCCTGAAATCATAACTGGCATGTCAACTACCAAGGGCTCTACGGCATTTGAGCAGTACGAAGACAATGTGGCTGCATTGGTAATGGCCTGTCCCAACCTTGAGAGGCTGTCGGGGCCAGTATTTACCTACGACCATTCCTTCAAGAGACTGTTTCATGCCCTATCTACGAGAGCTAATCTGAAAGATATGAACTGGCTGATTGAATCATGCGACTTGACAACAACAAAAGAAGTCGCCCTGGCCCCAGGTAAAGACTGTACTCTTGGGACCAACGACGAGCTACAGACTGATCACCAGATTGCCTTTTTGGAACAACATCGAGCCTGGGCCAAATTAACTAGCCTCTCTGTAGAGTGTTTACCTGACGCAACGCTTGCACCTCAAACATTACTTGCCAGAACCCTGACACTTCTCCCTTCGCTGCAGCATCTACATCTTTGCAACTTGCCACCGAGTGCATTCAACGATGTCAATCTCCTGTCTCTTCCCCCTTTACAAAGCTTGACTCTTTCAGGTATCCGCGGCATCTCATCTAATGGCCTTTCATCCTTTGCAACACGATCTACCAGCCAACATCTTCGACGGCTCGTTCTTCGTCACACACCGCTCACCTCATTACCCGCTCTCGCGCGCATATTGTCCAACCTGCAGTCCCTATCGACTTTTTCACTGGTGCAGACTTTCCCCCCATTGATGCCCGAGTCAGACTCGTTTATTCTTTGGATGATGCCATACTTGGCGTCGAGGAGCGTCAAGAATCTGCATTGGGATATTACCAGTCATCCAGAGTGCAGCAATGCCGCAGACAGCATTCTCGCGAGGAGCATCGGAGCGGGTGGGTTCCCCTCGTTGAAAACACTACGAGCGCCCAATGACCCGGATGGCATTTTTCAAGAGTTGTGTCGACCGGTGGAAAGAATCGACCTGCCGAGCGACCGGCTCCGAACCATGTCTGTCTCGGAATGCGGAAGCGTGCCCAGCTCCCCGATAAAGTATCTCTCCAAATCACCCACGACGAGCTCGCTGCCATCCATCATGACCGTCAGCCCTCATACCAACCTCGCCGTGGCGCGGCTGGCTGCCCAGGCACGCCTGGATCGAGCGCGCGACTCCTACACGTTTCAAGTAAATGTCACGGATGAGGAAGGTGACCTGGTTGAGACATTTGGGCTAGCAGGGTACATTGGCACCGTGGGCAGCGAAATCCACTATCATCTCCTCCCGGACGAGGGATCTAGCGACGAAAAGGGCGGTCTTGTCGACGTCTCTGATCTGCGTGACGACTTGGGTGACGGCCCAGCTGTGGGACGAGCAGGATGCACGGGAAGTTGGAACTGGCGAGAGGGCGTTGTTGCTGATAAGAGGGAAAAGGAAAGGTGGTGGCACACTGAGAGGACACGATGGCGGAAAGTCGAGCTTTGAGATTTCACGACGACTTGTTCTCACGACGGACTAGCATTAATACCAATATGTATACCCCAACGCACAGCAATTTTATTTTTTTGTACTTTGCTACTGTTTAATCCAAATCAAAGAGAATGACAATCAACAAAAATCAGAACCCCGCGGGACCTCGGTTCCCATCACTCAGTCGGTCCCGGCTCAACCACGACGAATTTCCCTGCTGGCGTTGTTTTCCCTCAAGTTCCTCTGCGTACATGCGTTTTTGTGTGTTCCCTCACTCCAGGTCACGTAGTCTTTGAAGAACACGGCACTTATTACAGACGTATGTCGTGGACTCGGAACAATTAAACCGGACTGGATGCGAATACTCCAACAACAAAGTCTTAAGCGCCTCATTGAGTTTCTCTGTTTCGGTGTGTTTTTTCTTCAACTCCCGGAACCTCTTTCGAAACTCTTTATTCCCGTCCATTATGCCACATATCTCAATGGGTTTCTCGCTGATACGCCACTGACGGCAAGCGGTGCACTGGCAACTATCTTGCGTGGTTAAGCACATCTTGGACTGCCGCTTGTTGCAAAGCTCACTTGTTGAATGGTGATATTGGGGTGGAAGGGTCCCAAAGATCAAGCTTGGATGGCTTTTAAAAGAAGGTGCCAAGTGTAGAGAATGGCGTTGCTTTGATTGACTTGAATCTTCAGTTGTTGAATGCTGACTCGGGTGGAAGGCTTTAAGGGCAAGCTTTGAGGGTGTTTTGAAAGAAGACGAGGGTGTAGAGAAAAGCGTTGCGATGCCTGACTTGAATCCGGATTCGAAGGAATCTCCCGGCCCTTTTATACCTCAAGAGTTCATATTCACTGACGACGCTCTTCCGCTTTGCTTCTGCATATCTTGTTCTTGTTGCAGCTGTGCTCCTCGTGCCTGGTTGCACAGACTCGTTCAAACTGTCTCTGAACCCTTTGAGCCGGTTGTGTTCACAGCCACTATACAATATACCTCTGTAAACTAATATTCACAGGGAGTAAGCTCAAATCTTCTTCGAGCTAGATCATGACGTGTCGTATCCGACGCTTCAGGTTTGTGAGGAATATCTCCGCTATCACAGAGGCCGCCGGTCTTGCGCAATACCTCGCTCCTCATTTCGAGGCTTTTGTTTAGGTGTTTCTGATATTCACTGCATAGTATACTAGATTTGTGGCCCGGCTGTACGGAGGCTGTTCAAGTTTCCCTACCTATAGTTGACCATGGTTCTGCTCGTTTCAGCTGCATCTTCAGACGCATGTATTCATTCACCGTCAGACACAAAGACTCAGTAATTCACCCTGAGCAATGAAAGCAAACCAACTTTATTTCTATTGACAAACAATCTTGATCTGACACACTCAGTTCACCGGGCATCCGTCGCGCATAAATCTGGTGCCTTGAAGTGTGTCTCCATCTATCCAACAGACTCTCCCTTGATTTCCTCAGCGCTCGCCATCAAAATCTGTTCATCCCTGCTGCGAGAACATGTTGCCGCTGAGATTGCTTCTCATTCAACCATCTCAGGCAGCGGAGCTGAAGCGGCCTTGTTTCTTCCCTTCTCATATTACTCCCCCCTTTCGGATATGCAAGCAGGGCAGTCCGCCTCAATAGGAGAGTTCTCATCATTCGTAGGGGGCACGGTCACAACCTTGAGCTCGTGTTCCCTTCCAGCTAACACCAGGGCCCTGCCTCGGTCGCAATATTCGACGGCGTGTAGTTTGATGAATTTCACACCGCAAGGGCAATTGGCGTATGAAACGTCTCGATGGCACATCTTGATCAGATTGTACTTTTGCCGGCTTCTGTGTCGTCGTTTTGTTGGAGGTGTAAATGTCGCAAAGGTGTCGGTGATCAGGAGGTGGTTGATTTTTTGCGATTCTGACTCCTGGCGAAGCGGGAGATTTCAAAGTCTTTTATGAGAAAAATCAAAGACACCATGGTGAGTTTCGCCAACATCATGGCTGGCATGAACACAAGTCCGCTACATCTACAGGGATGGGTACAACTTGTCCAGTAGAGCACGCACCAGTTCCGGACCTGCGCGTCTTCATTGTTCAACAAGGGCCGCGCCGTCGAATCCAATGAATCCCTATATAGCCTTCAGCAAGTGTTCGGTGAAATGCCAAGAGTAGACTGATTCACACGAGTCCCCGTGGCCCGCCTCGGCCAAGAAGAACTCACCCTTCGCACATCGATAGCCAAGCCATTCATTGAAAAGGCGTACCAACATCTCAATCGTGCTCTCTGCAACATTTACATCATAGGAAGTGAACTCACACTCCACTACCGGCGGCCGCTGCTTAAAGAGTCAAGACCGCATTCTGTTTTTGCAGCCTCAACGAAACGACGGCAGCACCGTGCTGCAACTGCAACATAACTGAATACCATCCCATCACTAGGCTGCGTGTGGTATGCAACGACCCACGATGCCATTTGCTTCTGGGGCACTGATCCCTTTGAGGAGGAGTCCAAACCGACTACCGATTTGTATTTACTGCCTTCAAGCACCGCTCCATATACACGAGCATTTTGTCCCATTCCTGGCAACACCATAACCATGTGTTCACACACCACCAGTAAGAAGATCTTTGCCCACTGCCTGAGGTCAGAAAAGCACAGAATCGTCAAGTATATGTATCGGAGATGTTGTGAACGACCGGTGCCTGGGCCACGCTGTGATGATTCCGCACGTTATCGAAGCCTCAGGGCCGATGTGGTCTGCCACAACAGGGGGTTTTGTAATATGGGCAAGAATGAAGTCATAGGCCTTGGACATGAGATATATCAAAGTGTGAGTTTCACCCGTGAATATGGGCGCGAAATGGCGACTGGCTTACTGAGTGTACATCTATAATAGTGTGACGTTTCGTGACGGGGCGTCGATCAGATGGACCCTGCATAGGATGAATCGTGGCATATGGTGACGATGGTGTGACAATAGCTTGGAGACTTCTCGTCTTTCGCGGAAGAGGACAATGCTATTTATGTGCTGTGCTTTTGGGCTACTCGTGAGAATGAACGAGGCGGCAGGCTGAACAGATATTGATCCCCTTGATGCGCTCCGACCACACGAAACTGGTTGATGACGTGGTTTTATATTAGATGTGACTGCTATATTCGACCTGCACGAGTGGGTATGACGAGAATGTTCCCTTGTGACGGTTTCAAATAAATGGGCTGGGGACCCCAGCGATAATCTATTCCGCCTTTGTTATGGCCGTGTGGTCTATCTGTTATTTGATGAATATGGACTCTTCCAATCCAATAATTTATTACTTGTTGAACTCCGTCGCCAGATGCAAAATTATATCCAAACAGATTAAAAAGAAAAAGATATTTTGGAAGGTTCGAAGCCGATCGTTTATAAACTCGCTTAAATTATGCCCCGAAGATGCAACAGACTACACAGGTCTGGATTTAAAAAAAAAAAAAAGAGGGAAAAAAGTAATGCTGATTAGAAGAAAAGACCCTTTTTCTTCGCAACTGGCTTCTTCTTAGTCTCGCCCAGAATATCGTCGAATGTAGCCCCCGTCGTGGCCGCCGGCTTGGTTTGAGACACAGAGCTTGCCTCTCGAGTAGTCATGCCGGCAAGATTGCCTACCGAAGCACTTCGAAGACCGAGATGGCTACTTGGTGGGCGAGGACCAATGGAACTGCTTCGATTGTGACCTCCAAAGAGATTCGGCGGAGGTTCCATGGGTACTGGCTCAAGGCCCATTGCGATGCTAGATCGAGAATATTGCCGACTTCGATGAGCTGGAGATAGATTCCGGGGGCGCAATGCGGGTTGCGGGCCTCCAGGCGGCGGTGACGGAGTGCTTGGGCCACCAACAACTGGCGGACTATTCATCGCAGGTTCTTCTCCGGGAAACATGGGTTGCGGTGGCTGCAAGGGCGACATTGGAGGTTCCTCGGGCGGAACAGCATCAACTCCATCCAGACCCTCCCACTGTTTTGCGGCAAGCCAACAGTGACTACGATGGTATGTGGCTTCAACGCTGAACATGACGGCGTCTGCGGAAAGCTCAACGATACCGCCGCCGCCAGTGACCTCATACCACATTTTGCGAACCTGTCCGTCCTCAATCCAAGGCAGATTGCCCATGGGAGGCTCACAAAGGAAGTACTCGACGCCTTCGGTGTGTTTGACTCCCGGAGCGTCTACGACAAGCATGGGCAGAGATTGAAGCACTACGTAGAGGAACAACCAGTACCCAATGCGCTGGTCCACCAAGTCGTGTGTAACTTTGCCTTTGCCCTCTCGAATCTCAAAGTCCTTGAAATGGTCAAGGAACGGCAGCTTAATGCGGTTTGTGTCGTAATTGTAAGCTTTGTTCAAGATGAGAATCAGTTCGTGCTCTTTAATCTTCTTTTCCATTCTGTTCTGGTCCTTTTGGGACATGTTGTCAAATGTCTCGTGGATTGCTTTCATTGAAGGCAGTTGCGGCAGATCAAACGGAATCGGCGGCAAAACAGGGGGTTTGGAGCGATCGAACTCGGAGAGGATGTTTCGGAGAGCAGATATTGTCATTTTGCTTGGTTCGTCCGAAATGGCTGGAGTCTCGTCCATGACCCGAGACGTTAGGCTATTCCGGTCAACCAATAAATCGTACAAGGCGCACATGTCGGAATACAATACTTTGAGGACAAGCCTGTTTAGCCCACTTTCGGCAAAGGGGTTCTTCTTGTTGCTGGCCTTGGGGGGCCAATTTCCAAATGTTGACTTGTAGTAATTGAGCAGGAATTGCCGCATCCGACTGAATGAGTTTCGCCACGTCTTGAATCGCACCTGCCTGAGCTCAGGAATAGAGGTTGAATTGGCGATGCCTGCGAAAAGTGACGGGAATTCAAACTGCTCCAGGTGTTCGTTCACATTGTGTTGTCTGTTAACGAGATCCAAGTGCGCTCGTTCCAATCTCTGACGAGTGAGCGGGGACACTTGCTCAAACAATGGCAATCGCAAGTCGATGATGGCAGAGTATTTGCCAGCAGCATG